CTGTCACTGACACATTTCTGATACAGGGAGTATACTAAATAATTTGCATTAATACTTATCGGTTTCCTCTCGATGCACCACATTCCTGGAAGTCCAGAATATAGCAAAAATCCTTGGTCTATGTTTTTAGGGAGCCATTTAAAGTTCTGATTGGTATAATTATACCAGAGAGAGCAAGGAGCACAACGGTAGATTATATCTGGATTAGAACCATTACAGATTCCTTGTTTTATCAATGTCTCTGTAGTTATGTTACAGGAATTTCTTGCTTTGCAGGTATGTACATAATATGTGGAGTTAAGAAATGCTGCAAATCGGGGTTTAGTACAAGTGTCCCATGGGGTCAAGTCTCTAAAAAGCTTTTGTTGACCATTCATATTCCATTCTTTTGGCAATGCTTCTGCTTTTAATAGGCCTGTCTTATTGTTGCTCATCAACTGCTGCAAGGTTTCTTTCACTAATTGATGTATTTCATCTGAATTCAAATTCACACGCCACCATGAGTCATTATAAAGTTCATTACTACAGAATATGGTTCCAGTGTGGTTTCTCACTCCACCAGGAAATCTATATTCCTCTTCTTCTGCTCCTTCCCAGTAACCAATTTTTTCTGAATTGTAGGTAAAAATCTGTGTCTTATACTGAGAGGTGCTTAAATAATCAATTAGGTATTCTTTGTACTGTATTCCATCTTGGGTAATACCTGGACGTGGACAGTGATCAGCCTTTATTTCTGATTCCGGCCATCTTCTGTTTGACTGGAAATTAACATAATAACAATGTCCAAAATTAGCATAGCACATCTTTTCAGCATAAGAAGGCTGTTTGCGATAGTCATCCAATGGTAAACTATATGGCAAAGTCTTTTCTTGAATCACCTTCATATGTGCATCCAAAGTTTCTTTGACAAGCATCTGTCCCGTCTCACTTTTAATTCCAGCATCTTTAGCCATCACTGCTGAGTCTAGTATTAGGATTTGAGATAGTCCAATCACTTGTTTCTTGTGTATAATCGGTTTTGGGTATGGTTTCCAATAGGTTCCTTGTGGAATACCAGAATACGTCACATTGGCGATTACTTCGCTGTGAATTGTGTCTCTTTTCATAAGATGGTTCCTGGAGGTCATCCTCACGATCATGGAACTTGTATTGTATGCAGTCCAATTCAATACGGGAGCTTCTTGGTTGTTAACATAATCCCAATGCAGTTTCAAAACGACTACTAGGGTTGATGTTATCATGATAATGCAGCAGATAGTAATAAAGAGACACCACATCCAATTCTTCAGTATCCATTTGCTTCCATCTTTGCACTTCTTTCTTACTGTGTTCCATACTTTATGTAAAGTCTGTTTTTCTGGTAATAATGATTCATGTTCCAATTCTTCCATAGCAATTGTAAATATGTCATTTTTTGTTCGTAGATCCTTCTCCTTTGCATTTTCAATTATCTGATCATGAGTTGGTCTATTGCGAGGCTGTGAGATGGGTTGCTTTTCCATCCTCTTTTGTGTTTCTCTTGCTTCCTTCGACAGTATCCACTGTGTCAGGGTCAATGGTTCTGTGGACATCTTGGAAATACTTTGCTGGTTTTAAATTATCAATGCTTACTGTTCTCTGTTGGCCTTGTTTGTTCTCCGTAATAAAAGTTCTCGGATTTAAAATCGTCACGATTTTCACAGGCTTTTTCCAGCGTGGTCGCAGGGGGCGTAGTGTATGGACCCTCTCCAGGACGAACTGGCCAACAGTAGGAACCCAAGTAGTAGGTGACGGATTGTGGTGCGTTGTGGGTCGAGAAAACAATTCTCTAATTTCCTCTAACAGAACCAGCTGTTCTAATCTCCCTGGTGCAGAAATATGTTCAGTAAAAGTTGTGTTACAAGGGACACCATACAACATTTCATATGGAGTTTTACCATTAGTAGTATTAGGTATATTGTTAATGCCCAATTGTACCATAGGAATAAGTGGATACCACTGTGTGGGGCGAGCAACTAGCAACTTGGTTAATAGTCTTTTCACCTCAGCATTTTTCCGTTCCACAACCCCACAACTTTGAGGGTGGTTGGGTGCACTGATTTCCCAAAGTAACCCAAACGAGGTTGCCCAGTTCTGGGTTTCTTTTGCAGTAAATGCAGGACCACCATCTGAGTGGATGGTCCTAGGCTTACCAATGCATACCAAGGAAGTGAGACTAGCAATCGTGGTATTAGAGGTCGCACTTCGCACAGGGTATAACCAAGTAAACCTGGTACATGCATCAACACATACTAAAACATATTTATAACCATGGGATGGTGGCAAAGGTCCAATATGATCAATATATAATAATTCAAAAGGTACATTGGGTATGGATTTTTCAATAAATGGTACGACTGAATGATTCGGTCTATTCACTAATAAGCATTGCTTACAATTACCAATAACATGAACAACAGTCCTTCTCATATTGGGCCACCAGTATCTTTTTTTCTGAGTAATAAGTACATTATCTCTACCCAAATGAGCTTGTCCTAATCCTGAATGAGCCTCTAGTACAAGTTTTTCCCTCTCCGTTACAGGAGGAACAATGAAGTTATTACCATCAATGGTTACTATACAATCAACTCCTTCTAAATGATAGGAGTATTTGGTAGGATAGCCAGCTGGATTATGTCTGGTCTTATCCAGGCAAGCATTTAACTCTGCATCTACTTTGAGAGAAAGGGTATGTTTCTGTGATCTAGTGACCACATTAACAGAATAGCTTTGGCTGACACTTTGCGCCAAAGTGTCTGCCAGCTGGTTGCCAACTGTATGAGGTGAAGAACCTAACTTTCTGTGTGCAGGTTCATACACAATTTCAATGTCAGGTTTCTTTTGCAAATATGCATCAATTTGTTTCCACAAAGAAATATGTTTCAACGGTTTACGTTGTGCTGTAAGAAAACCATTTGAGCGCCAGACTGAGAGATCTTGTACAGTGGATCTTGCGAGATAAGCTGAATCTGTCACTATCAAAACCGGCCCCACTATTGACATACTTTCCTTTAAAGCATGTGTATATGCATATATTTCGGCATACTGTGCTGAATGATCACCTATGGGTATTGACCAAGTCTGATCTACCTGTCCTGGTACACATTTTACAATACCGCAACCTGCAGATTTATTTTTGTTTTCGGCTAAAGAATTTACAGCTGATCCATCTGTATAAAATATAGCTTTATAAAAATCATTAGGGTGTGTCTGTCTTTCCCATTTATTTTCAGAATCTGATGAGGTTGGTAGATCATCTAATGTTGGTAGTGTTTTATCATGAATAAAGGTTAGTTGTGGATCCTCTAACAGAGCATACCATTTGAGCCAACGGCTTTTTAAAGCCTTTCTTTCTGTAATTGTTTGTTTCTGCAGAGCATTTAGTGAAGCAACAGGTGTAAATAACACAATCTGTTGTCCTTGAGCTATGTTTCTTGATTTTAATAATGTAATCGAAATAGCTGTCAAAACTTTTTCCAGAGGAGTATATTTTAATTCAGTTTTAGTAAAAACATAAGATAGTAGACATAAAGGAGTCACGTCATTATCATTATATAAACGTGCATATGCTACATGTGGGGAACATGTGATTATAGCTATAAGCTTTGTATCACAATTTCGTTGGGCAAGATATGATGTGTTATTCACTGCATTAATAAGAGCTTTTAATGCTTTGTCATTTTCTGTTGTCCATTCAAAAGCAATTGTATTGCGTTCATTCTTAATTTCTCTTGAGATGGCTGAGTTTAATGAGACTATCAGTTCTTTATAATTTGGAATAAAAAACATTGCATAATTTAGAAGGCCAACAATGCTCCTCAGTTGTTTTAAATTCTTTGGAGCAGAAATATTCGATATCTTATCTTTGTAGGACGTAGTCAAACCACGACCTTGATTCGAGATTTCAAATCCTAAATAGTTTACTGTATGTCTGGCTATTTGTGACTTTTTTAATGAAATAATATAGCCAGCTATTTTCAGTCTATGAAGAACTGTTTTCAATACATCCAAATGTTCACTTTCAGTGTCATGTGAAAAATATATATCATCTACATAGACTTCCACATTAGGAATGTCAGTTAGCAATGAAATAACATCTGCTGTAAATAATGCCGGAGAATTAATAAAACCTTGTGGTAATCTCGTCCAAACATACTGTTTACCTGCCCAGGTAAAACTAGTTATATTATAACTTTCAGGACTGATGGGATGGCTCCAGAAACCATTGGATAAATCCAATGTTGTTTTATATTTTCCTCTAAACATATGCTGTAATATGGATGGGGAATGTGTATTCTGAGCTGCTACAGGTGGTGTAACTCTATTCACCTCTCGATAGTCTAACACCATTCTCCATTTATGATCTGATTTTGGTACAGGATAGATGGCAGAATTCATGGAACTATATTGTTCCTTAATAACACCTTGTTTCAGCAGGTCATTTATTACAATCTGTATATCAGGTATTGCAAGTGGGTTAATTTTATATTGTGCCTGTTTCTTAGGTGCAAGTGTTCCTGTTGCTATATGATGACAAATATCCCTCCTGTGTCCTACTTGATTTTCCCATTGTTGAAAAACATCCTTATTCTGTACTAGAATTTCTTTTAATTCTTTTTTATTTGTTAATGAGGTGAAATTTAATTGATGTTCTATATGTGAATCAACATTGATAGGTACAGTAAGCTGTAGTGCAGGTTTTGAAACTATATCTATGAAATGTGAAACATCTTTATATGCAATTAAGAATGAAACATCCAAACTAGGATGTTCAGCCAGTTCAAGATTAACCTTCCTTCCATTAACTTTAATAGTATCATGATATAAAGGATATGTACCATTGCCCTCTAATGTTTCAATAGTAACATTAGAAAATGGATTGGTTTTTAATATGTTTTTCTGTACAAGTGAAATTTCTGCTTGTGTATCTAACACCCCTTCATATGTCCTCAGATCATATGTAATCTGCAAATCAAGATTATTCATCCTGATTTTCTTCTTGCTCTGGGTTTTGATTCTCGGTTTTCTTTATTTTTTTGTATCTTTCTGGTTGTTGCTGGAGGATGTGTTGGAGGATGTGAGGATGTTGATGGGGTAGTAGAACTTTTATCTTGTCCTGTTCTGTCTCTATCCCTGACTTGTCCTGGGGATCCTCCGTATTTGTCTGGGCCTTTAACCCTTGGTCTCAATCTATATCCTCCGCTATATCCAGGAAATTCTAAATATCTTGGGGCTTCTCCTTTGGAAGTTGACTGATATCTTTCAGTACGATCTATCTCTGTAGTCTGTTCTTTTTCCCTTTGATATGTCCTATATGAGGGACGAGAATAATCCCTGTTAGTTCCATCTATAGATGTAGATGGTCTAGATTCCCTTTTTATGAATGTAGAACTTCTCCTATCTTGCTTTTGCCTGTCTCTTCTAGGGGTAAATGCTGCATTGCTTTTCCTATCTTTGTTTCCTGCTTTTTCTTTGCTTTTATACCCCTCTCCTGTAAGATCCTTACCTAAAAGTGTGTATGTGCTCCTTAGGATTTCAGGCATTCTATCACTTTTCTCATTTTCGGTCAATCCATGCAACCTTCTTTCTATGTCAAGTATTAATGCTTGACCTTTTACTAGTGGTTTCAAGCAACCCCAAACCATGGAATGATTTCTGCTTGTGAATCTCATCCCTAAATTATATGCTGCTATAATCCCTGACTTTGTATTCACTCCCGCCAGTGTGTCTGACAGTGTAGAAATCGTCACTTTGCCATAAGTCTTTTCATATAGAGTGGATATTACAATATCCCAGTTTTCAGCTTCAGCTTGTGTAATTGACAGTCCAGAGGGCAGTAATGCATTTACTAGCCCCTGTCTCTGAACTGCAGTTTGAGTTGGGTAAACCCCATCTAACGCATGTGTTTTTTCATTAAGCCATAATGCTATTTCCTTCGCAGATGTTGGTACTGTGCCAATAGTAGCTTTAATATTAGACATAGGAATACCCTGTATTCCTGTCCCCACTGTGTGAACTATAGGAGCACTAACAATTGGTGCTATTAACGCCTGTCGTAACAAGTCTCTCAAGAAAATAATTTCTGGCATTAACCTCTCTCTTTCTGCTCGTGCAGACTGTGCAGGTGCCGGTAATTCATGGCTGTGTACGGGAACATATAGTAATCCCCTACCTATACCCCACTGTCCTGGGACTAATGGACCATGTCTTGCTGGTGTATTAGGTATATTAGGTCGTTTACCAAATAGTTGTATATATGTCTCTCTTGTCATATTAATTAAGGTCTGTGTACTTAAATCTGGTGGAGTGTTAGGTAGTTCTGTAAATGTTGGCTGATCTAGATCTACATTTTCCGCATCAGTTAATTGAATGCTGATTACAGCATACCTGGCTCCTGCACCCCAAGGGCCTTGTACAATTTCACATAGTACCATTTCTCCATGATGAAGATCTCTCTGTGCCTGGGCTACAAAAAGTTCATTAAATTCTCGATATCTCAAGAATAATTGTCCCATGACAAAGAATTGTGTCTTCTCTTACATATAAGAGGTTACCTAGGTATTTTTGCTTAAAATAAGTAAAGCTAGTGCTTCCAGCCCCACGTTGGGCGCCAATTGTAACCGTTCGTACTCCAATTTACCGATATAACGTCTTATAACTTAGAATTTAGCAGGGCTAACCATACAGATATCTTAGCTAAATATTGTATAGTCGGTATAGAGTTTCTCTATTTAAAATACATAAATAATTGAGAATACAATAAAAATAGGAGTTGGAAGCAATAACTTTTGTCTTATTAATATAGTTTATTGGATAAATGAATAAAGATCCATTAATATATCATAAAGCAGAGTATACAAGATTAAATGAATAAATGCTTGCAATATAATTAGTATAACATACCCTCCTGATTATACAGGTAATCTCTCAGTATGTCACCTCCAGAGTCGGTCAGTATGTCTCTATCTAGCATTGATCTAGCATGTATATATAGTATAGCATTTCTAATTACTACTGGTAATGTATGGGTTAATTCATCTTAGGGTTAAAATCAGTTCATATATAAAAATAAAGGAAAAACACCCTTATCAGTCTAATGTCATAACCTAGACATCTTTAATCTGTATTTGGACTAGAAGTTAGGTTGACATACACCTTAGGGTTAAGAGAAGGTCATATAACAAAATAAGTCTAATGTCATAACCTAGACATCTTTAATCTGTATTTGGACTAGACGTTAGGATGACATAGGCAAAGCCTTGAATTGTTATTGCATTAAATTAAGACAAGATGGAGTAAACATGTTGTGTACTGTAAATAGGTAAAAGGTTATTAGTTAAAGAAACAGTTGCAGTTTAAAGAAATACAATGTAGCAATGTGTATTATACCCACAATTGCCCATCACACTGTTATAGATTGAATAGCAGTCAGTGTCCTTAAAGCGGGTGTGTTACGCTAACAGTGGAAACGGTGACCAGTGCCACCACTTATATCTGGTGTCACAATAGCTTGGATTTAAAAACAAAAATCTTTTTTCACTGTTATAGATTGAATAGCAGTCAGTGTCCTTAAAGCGGGTGTGTTACGCTAACAGTGGATACGGTGACCTTTGCCACCACTTATATCTGGTGTCACAATAGCTTGGATTTAAAAACAAAAAACTTTTTTCACTGTTATAGATTGAATAGCAGTCAGTGTCCTTAAAGCTGGTGTGTTACGCTAACAGTGGATACGCTGACCAGTGCCACCAATTAGATCTGGTGACACAAAGCTTGGATTTAAAAAAACAAAACACTTTTTTCACTGTTATAGATTGAATAGCAGTTAGTTATCTTCATGCAGGTGTGTTACGCTAACAGTGGATACGGTGACCAGTGCCACCACTTAGATCTGGTGACACAAAGCTTGGATTTAAAAACAAAAAACACTTTTTTCACTGTTATAGATTGAATAGCAGTCAGTGTCCTTAAAGGGGGTGTGTTACGCTAACAGTGGATACGCTGACAAGTGCCACTAATTAGATCTGGTGTCACAATAGTTTGGATTTAAAAAAAAAATAATCTTTTTTCACTGTTATAGATTGAATAGCAGTCAGTGTCCTTAAAGCGGGTGCGTTACGCTAACAGTGGATACGCTGACAAGTGCCACTAATTAGATCTGGTGTCACAATAGTTTGGATTTAAAAAAAAAATAATCTTTTTCACTGTTATAGATTGAATAGCAGTCAGTGTCCTTAAAGCGGGTGTGTTACGTTAACAGTGGATACGCTGACAAGTGCCACTAATTAGATCCTGTGTCACAATAGCTTGGATTTAAAAACAAAAAACTTTTTTTACTGTTATAGATTGAATAGCAGTCAGTGTCCTTAAAGCGGCTGTGTTACGCTAACAGTGGATACGCTGACAAGTGCCACTAATTAGATCTGGTGTCACAATAGTTTGGATTTAAAAAAAAAATAATCTTTTTTCACTGTTATAGATTGAATAGCAGTCAGTGTCCTTAAAGCGGGTGTGTTACGCCAACAGTGGATACGCTGACAAGTGCCACTAATTAGATCCTGTGTCACAATAGTTTGGATTTAAAAAAAATAATAATCTTTTTTCACTGTTATAGATTGAATAGCAGTCAGTGTCCTTAAAGCGGGTGTGTTACGCTAACAGTGGATACGTGACCAGTGCCACCACTTAGATCTGGTGTCACAATAGCTTGGATTTAAAAAAAAACACTTTTTTCACTGTTATAGATTGAATAGCAGTTAGTTATCTTCAAGCAGGTGTGTTACGCCAACAGTGGATACGGTGACCAGTGCCACCAATTAGATCTGGTGACACAAAGCTTGGATTTAAAAAAACAAAACACTTTTTTCACTGTTATAGATTGAATAGCAGTCAGTGTCCTTAAAGCGGGTGTGTTACGCTAACAGTGGATACGCTGACCAGTGCCACTAATTAGATCTGGTGTCACAATAGCTTTGATTTAAAAAAAAAATAATCTTTTTTCACTGTTATAGATTGAATAGCAGTCAGTGTCCTTAAAGCGGGTGTGTTACGCTAACAGTGGATACGCTGACAAGTGCCACTAATTAGATCCTGTGTCACAATAGTTTCGATTTAAAAACAAAAAACTTTTTTTACTGTTATAGATTGAATAGCAGTCAGTGTCCTTAAAGCAGGTGTGTTACGCCAACAGTGGATACGCTGACAAGTGCCACTAATTAGATCCTGTGTCACAATAGCTTGGATTTAAAAACAAAAAACTTTTTTCACTGTTATAGATTGAATAGCAGTCAGTGTCCTTAAAGCGGTGTGTTACGCTAACAGTGGATACGGTGACCAGTGCCACCACTTATATCTGGTGTCACAATAGCTTGGATTTAAAAAAAAAAAACATTTTTCACTGTTATAGATTGAATAGCAGTCAGTGTCCTTAAAGCGGGTGTGTTACGCTAACAGTGGATACGGTGACCAGTGCCACCACTTATATCTGGTGTCACAATAGCTTGGATTTAAAAAAAAAACCACTTTTTCACTGTTATAGATTGAATAGCAGTCAGTGTCCTTAAAGCGGGTGTGTTACGCTAACAGTGGATACGGTGACCAGTGCCACCACTTAGATCTGGTGTCACAATGGCTGGGATTTAAAACAAAACACTTTTTTCACTGTTATAGATTGAATAGCAAAGTTAGTTATCTTCAAGCAGGTGTGTTACGCTAACAGTGGATACGGTGACCAAAGTGCCACCACTTAGATCTGGTGTCACAATAGCTTGATTTAAAAACAAAAAACTTTCTTTTCACCGTTATAGATTGAATAGCAGTCAGTGTCCTTAAAGGCTGTGTTACGCTAACAGTGGATATCGGTGACCAAAGTGCCACCACTCTTGTGATCTGGTGTCACAATAGTTTGGATTTAAAACAAAAAACTTTTTTCACTGTTATAGATTGAATAGCAGTCAGTGTCCTTAAAGCTGGGTGTGTTACGCCTAACAGTGGGATACGTAGTGACCAGTGCCACCACTTGTGATCTGCGCGTCACAATAGCTTGATTTTTAAAACAAAAAACTTTTTCACTGTTATAGATTGAATAGCAGTCAGTGTCCTGTAAAGCAGGTGTGTTACACTAACAGTGGATACGGTGACCAGTGCCACCACTTAGATCTGGTGACACAATAGTTTGGATTTAAAAACAAAAAACTTTTTTCACTGTTATAGATTGAATAGCAGTCAGTGTCCTTAAAGCGGGTGTGTCACGCTAACAGTGGATACGGTGCCCAGTGCCACCACTAACTGGTGTCATAATAGCTTGGATTTAAAAACAAAAAACTTTTTTCACTGTTATAGATTGAATAGCAGTTAGTTATCTTCAAGCAGGTGTGTGACGCTAACAGTGGATACGGTGACCAGTGCCACCATTTAGATCTGGTGACACAATAGCTTGGATTTAAAAACAAAAAACTTTTTTCACTGTTATAGATTGAATAGCAGTCAGTGTCCTTAAAGCGGGTGTGTTACGCTAACAGTGGATACGGTGCACAGTGCCACCACT